GGAAAAGTATGATATCTGGAGTGTTAGTGAGGTGGGTTCAGTGCGATGAGGAATGAGAACTAGGCATGCACCAGACAGCATTCTCATGCAATGCTGAACTCGTTTGAACTTCTCGGTGTTGGTGTCTGTTTGAGTTGCTTAATCCATATATACAGCAGTATGATAGATAGGTTGAAGACAGCGGTTTGTTCATCCATTTGCATGCTTTTAGGGCTCATACCCCACGTGGGGCGACAGCTCTTCTAAATTGCATAAGGGAAATGCCGTAGTTTTTTTGGTGGTATTGGTGATATGTCATTGAAATGAGCTTGCTGTCGAGGGTCTCTCTAGGAATTGGCAGATTTGGATAGGACTATAGTTGGTGTTACCCACCACCACAGGTGTTAGTGTCATTTCTTATTCAGGTAAACATGACTATTTGAGTTTTGAGTGCGCTTATGGATAGATCTTGGTTTGGACATTTTCTATTGTGTTGAAGGTTTTGCGTGTTCGGTTCAAGATGATATCTAATCATTCCCCTCCGCTAGAGAGAGCAGATCGTCTGCAAGCTGTGCAGATAACTGGTATGTCTCTTGGGTGTAGGCAGGAGTCATCGGATACCGGTTCAGAGGAAAGGGGAAAGATGCCACCTTGAGGGCACCTTCCGGATCCGACCCTTGTCGACTTATCATTCTGAATTTAATGTGATTGAGTTCTGTTAGTTCCCCATGTTGTAATCATTGTGCAGTGGCCAGATCCGCTTTTCGAGGTTTGATAGCCGTCAGAAATAGCCTTGAAAAGAGAATTATCAAAAGCTCCCTCTATATCTAGAAAGACGCTATGACATTATCCCTTCTTAGCTATCCTGCGCTTCGATGGGTGAGTACTTTATGAAGGGTGCTTCGGATTGAACATCCTTTTCTTAAAGCCAATTGTCGTTTGTTTGATGTGTTTAGGATCTTAAGGTGTGTTGCATATGCCACAGTATCCTTTCTCACTGTCGTTTTAACCTCACTGGAGGAAAGGGTGATAGTGCGACATGATTTGGTTGGTTGGTAGTCAGTTTTTCCAGGCTTTGGGGAAAAGATTCCATGGGATTCTTTCCACAGTGTTGGAATTGTTGGGTTTCATGATTTTTTGTATAATGGTTCTGGTGATGTCTTTGATGTGTGTCCAAGCTTTCTGTATAATCCCGAACTTTTAAAAGGTGCCGAACTGTACGAATTTTTTACAAGTTTTTTACAAATTTTGTACGAATTGACCAACTATGATTCACGATGTCAATTTTTCGCAGCTCGGCGTGGCGTGGCCCAGTGGTGAGTTTCGTTACTGGGCCGTGCTCAGCCTGTCATTTTACCTGGGGACCCCAGGCTATTATGTTCATAAACATAATAAAGATTTGGCGGAATGACAGGCTGAGCGCCGCCCAGTAACCTGTCATTCCGCATAATATCTATTCATATGATTATGAACAGAAATATAGATCTTACGCCGAAATTGTGGATTGCAAAAAACATTATTTGCGCGGCCGATTAGTTCTGACGTTAGCTATAGAGGTTCTTTCACAATTTATTACCTATTTTTTCGGTATTATGGACGTATTAAATATGAAAATAAATTTGTTGAAACCCTAAAATGTTTTTGAAATATCTAAATCGATTTTTCGAAAATACTTATGTATGCATGTCTAATAATTTCATTAAAAAAAACAATCCATATTCCCCTTCCTCGTGTTTAGATAAGTTAGGAACCACTTTTTAACATAAACAAGCTATTTTGACCTCTGACGTGCAGTCTTTTATTTATATTGTTTTGTTTTGAACAAGTAATTTGACCAAAACCCATAATCATGGGTAGAGTGGAGCGCTGCCAGTGTCTCTCTTTCCCGAACAAAAGGCAATGATATCAATTTGAATGACCGTTATCAAATGCAAAATTATACCGAGAATGAAATCGGTCGCTCGCTTTTCCCACTCATTCTTGGCTTACGAATTGTAATAAGTTTCGATTTATAACATGTAATCTATTTCAATTGTAAATGAATGGGAAAAGCGAGCGACCGATTTCATTCTCGGTATAATTTTGCATTTGATAACGGTCATTCAAATTGATATCATTGCCTTTTGTTCGGGAAAGAGAGACACTGGCAGCGCTCCACTCTACCCATGATTATGGGTTTTGGTCAAATATCATCTCTTTTTGATTATAATGTCAGGGTACTTTACAAAGCCGAAATGTAAACTCATAATTTCATTAATATTAATAGGGAGGTGATTTCAACAATTTCGAAATTTTTCCTTTAAAAACATTTCCTTGTGTTTAGGTAAGCATATCGGTCGATCGGATCACTGACTGAATATGCCACTTTATACTCATTCAAGTTGGCATTAAATTCATATATAATGACATTAAACTGTCGTGGCAAAGCAGAATTTGTTCAAAATCACGAATGAGCAAAATTTTAACCTTTCGCACGTGCAAACCTTAAGCGGCCGTTGCGTCCGCATCTAATATTGAATCACCGTCAATTTTTGCGTGATGGTGTTTTATATATAGTTTGATAAGCATGAAAAGTTTCAAAGTATTTCAAGAAGAACTGTTATCACAACGGCACTCCAAAGTTGACAGAAATTGGTGAAAACAGTAATTTTCAGTGATTTTAGCAATTTTCTATCAATTTGGGCGTGGCCCCACGTGTGCAACTTTTCGATTTTCAACTTTAAAACTAGCCTATGACACAATTTAGACCTTTAGAAAGCAAAATTGAGCTCCACAACCCAAGGGATGGTGTAACACCAGAGAATACTAGAACGTAAAATTAGTGTTTTTATAAAATTATTCTTTAAAAAAGCACTAACTTCAATAGCGAATATCTTTATGAAGGAGCAAGCTAGAAACACTTTCCGGTAGATTTTGAGAATGCTTAAACAATTATCTAGGATAAAAATTTCCTCAAATTTTGAATAAAATTACTCCTCAATGGCGTAAAATCGATTTAAAAAATGACTACTTTGTGAAAAATCAAGTTTTAAAAATGGTTAACTTGATGACGTCATCAAGTGGTGATGATGACGTTGAATTACTTTTTAACATAATCTAAACTGAAGTCTAAACAATTATCTTCAAGACCTGTGGTCCGAAATGGCTGTATCTTTTATACTTCAGAATTTACGGACACTTAAATACAGGCTATAATTCACTGGCAAAGCGTCTATCCCTGAATATATATATATATGTATATATGTATGTATATATCACGACAATCTGTCGTAAAACAGGGGTTCTAGAAAACCCATTTTCCGATGCTCCTGAAACTTGAAACTTTTTTTGCAGTCGATTTGGTCAACGTCTAGACGCCCTAAAAAATTTCAGATCTCTAACTCAATTTTAACATGGTTTTTAAGGCACCTGAATATGGCGATTTTGGGTTTTTTACCGAATTTCGTATAACAGTGCTGGCGAGTATTTTATGCAAATTTCTTAAAAATCTCAGCATAACTATTTTTTATTCCTGTCATCTTTGACATCAAATTAGAATGTTTTGAACTAAAAATATATCTGCTGAGCGACTTCCGATGAGTCTTAATGCCTGAAAAACTCCTGTCGGAGGCGGCGGCCTTCGGCCGCCGCCTCCGGCCGGAGTGCACGCTTCGCGTGCACGAAAGAGGCTTCCGACGTGTACCAAAGGGGGTGTAAAGGGGGTATAATAGTAAAGGGGGTACAATAGTAAAGGGGGTACATAGTATACCCCCAATAAAGACACCGCTCGTGCTTGCCAGCACTGTGAAATAGATCCGAAAATCCGTTTGTCGTTTTAGAACTTGAACCGTAGAAATCAATTTACAATTTTAATTTTACCATTTATTGAACTTCATTAAACAGGACGTCACAAATACATAGATTCTACACAAATACCCTACCACTTGAATCCACGAGACAAATTGTTCAAGATAGCTCAAATACTCAAGATAGCTCAAATTGTTCAAGATAGCTCAAATACTCAAGATAGCTCAAACCGGATCACATGCAGCTCCACATCAGATATGTTCAATTAATCATGTTTATATCTGATACCAAATATACATTACATTATAATGTACATATTAATGTACATTACATTCCCGGACTTTACCGTTTATATTACCATTGACATTAATATTATCTACTATTTCAAGTTCAAGAAAATTCCTTCAACTTTTAATCAGGTTAAGATCATTTAACAATCTAAATCTAACAAAAAGCTCAAACCAATCTGTTATCATACCACAATTAAATATTCAAGAAAAAATGCAGCTTTAAAATGCACAATCACTGAGAGTAGAGATTAAGAAAATATAAGAACAGTAAACTGAGCTCTATTTACACAGCTAACAATAATACACGTTAAAGCGACTGTTATACAAACCACGCTCTTAATTTGTAAGCGGGAGGGATAGGAATTGGAGATTGGGAGGGGGGAGGAGTCACTCATAGTTTGATAAAACGAGGTACAGTATTAACACACGAAAATACATCTCAACTGCCCAAAACACAACTTAACCGTTGAAAGCGAAAAATAAATACATGTGATCAAATTGTGATGAAATAAAAAACTACGATTGTCATCAGCCAAGGACATCATATTACAAAAGCTTCCAGTTTATCTTCATTCACTGCACCGTTAGGGTAAAGCTGATCTTAAAGTTGTTCACAAGTTAACAAATTAAGTTCTTTTCAAATCTCCAATTTATCGACATTTACATATTAATAGTATATATTAATAGATATCTATTAATAGATATCTACTTGACACTAACGAGTATTATACGAGGATTACTCAAAACTTTTGTAATTTATCGCAATTTATCCGGCCACGTATGTATACCTCTTATGGAACCGTTCACATGTTAAGTAATCACTTTTTGGCAAATTTGTAACCCCCTCCCCCCTCCTTGATCAGTTTTACACATAGATATTGTGTCAAAATTACACTAGCGTAATCATTTGGAACCCCCCCCCCCCCCCCCCTCCCCCCTCGGCTGATAACGTAATATGTGAACGACCCCTTATTTATAACTCAAATATTAGGATGTACGCTCATTAAAACACAACACTCCATCAAAACACGTGCCAGCACGGTGTTTTAGTTCCAGTAAAAATACGACAAATTAATTAATTAATATCAATAAATTGAATATTAACTGATGTCAACTAATTGAGTTTTTGGTTTCAAACACCGTCAAATCCCTGGAAAACAAATATCAGAGGCTAACTTTTAACCTGAGAAACTAAGATATTCTTCTGAATACATTTAAACAGATAAGTCAGTAAGAAATCTAATCGTTACATTGATTATCAGCAACAACCAATCAAACACGCAAACAGCCAATTGCCAAAACAAAATTTCAAATTCTTAATTCCACCGCTTCTTATTTCTGAAAAATGAAGACATACCAATTACCAAGTGAGACTTTCATTTGCAATCTTCATTTATTAATCATTAATTTATGTAAATTTTGAAATTATATTATTCCATATTAAGTTCCTCGTTCTGATAAGAGTTAGGAACAGTGTTCTGAATACTGTTGGTCACGTGTTGGTCACGTGTATTGTTGGTCACGTGCTGTTTACTGCTACTTGGAATCTCCGACTTAGAGCGACGGTGTGAAATTATCGCTTCTGTGTCTGAAAGTGAATAATTATTAATTTTATTAATCGGCTATGGTATCGATATTCAAATTGTACTGTATAAAAACAGTATAAAAAATTAATCAAAGTTACACAACATGCTAAACTCTGTTATTGGTTATAAATGGATTTTTTTTCTCACAAGAATCTTACAAATTCACGACTAACATTTATTATATTGGTCATCAGTTGAATCATGATGACTGAATAATTACAAATTCTGATAACAATAATTTCACAATATTAGAAGATTAGTAATACGAGATTAGTAACACGCGATTAGTAACACGAGATGCACATGTTTACAATACCAGTTAAGTCAGGCTGTCTCACTTGATCCAAATATTATCTCTTCAACTGATTAAGGACTTTATAGAAGATACGTTTTTGAAGGGCACACTATAATACTAGTAGTTTTACAAATAAAAACTAAATAAAAACTAAATTTTACGTTTAAAAACGTAAAATTTAGTTTTTAAATTGATACAGCATGAATCTTGTTTTGTAAAATAAAACAGTTTACCTTCTACGGGAATATATTCCTCTAATATTGAAACGTCGTCATCTCCCAGACTTTCTTGACGATCAGCTCGTCTTTCAGAAGTCAGCCATCTTGCTACAGGCCCACACCAGGGAAACGCCTGCGGAGTGACAATTAATAATATAACAATATTCCGTCCCTATGAAGTAACATAACTCTGAACTTATGATTTTAAATTAGAATGATACATTTAAAGTCGTTACTCACGTCTTCAGCTGTAGATCCCTCGATAGTGAAGAGAGGCACCAGGTAAGAGTAGTCTGTTTTAAGGAACCTCCATCCCATCTCACCCAGACCTAGTAGAGAGTATCAGGTCAAACACAAGGAAATATTTTGAAAACAGCTTCAACTGAAATTTGAAAAAAGTGAACCAACTAAACTCAATAACAAGCTGACCTGATTGTTCCTGAAGCCTGTGCAAATCTTCATCTCCTATTTGTTTCTGAGCGAGCTGGTTAATTATGTGATCAGTCTCAGCATCTTCCACTATTCCAACTCTGCAATTAATTAATTAATTAATCAACTCTGCAATTAGATATCGTCAGTTAATATTGCTGTTTTTAGCGCGGATACAAGACATCTTTTCATAAGTATTCAATCAAACGGCATGCTTTCTCAGTCTTCCAATCATCTTAAATGAACATACTTATAGTCATAGGTCAGAAATCAGTTCTACGTTAATTTATAATATAATTGTTAATGATATATCAAATGTGTAGATCTTAATAGGTGTTTAGAAGCCCAACTAAGATGGCTTTAAAAGGGTAAAAATAGCACACGCTTCACATGATAGTGATACACATAAAATTATAGCACATAGACGGTAGCTATAAACTTGTTATGTTTCAGCTGCTTTAAATCGCTTTGAAGTAAAGTTTCACAAATATAAGACACAAAATGTGACCATACACGCTAGTTTTGACACAGATATATTGGAGATGTTTTATGTCAAAAGTAAGGTGTATCGCCCCTTCCATCTAGCGACATGTTAACTTTGGAGAAAGTGTTATCATGAAAAAAAGATGGTTAGCTGCTTTGGCTTTGCTGCTGCATATCAGTAAACTGTTCTTACCGTTCAAATCGGGGATCAATCCTAAATAGACATCGTTTATTGGCTAACACCATATTATATTGAGCTAAATAGACATCGTTTATTGGCTAACACGATATAATATTGAGCTATTGATTTACGCTCTATGGTTTCATTGGTGGTTACATTGGTGGATCACTAAAAGTCTATAATCTGGTACTGTTACTGTCAGGTGTGCTTCAAAATTGAGGTGGATATGTTTCCGAAAATATAAGTTGAATATAGAATCCCAACTGCTTATTCAACTAATTTGCTTGATACCGAACACATTTAGTCACAGTATCCAAACACGTTACCACCAAATATGAATATACACGTGACTTCCAAATAAGGGCATACACATAACTTCCAAATAAGGGCATACCACTGACCTGATTCTAAGGAGCTCCAGTACAGTGGTAGTGGTACTTCCATTGATCAGGACGGTTGCCAGCACTATTACCAGCGTGGTAGTCAGTATTATCCGCCTGGGAACTCCTTCGCTGTACTCCGCTGCTAACGCGAACGCTATCGCTCCTCTCAGCCCTGGGTGAGAGGAATTTTAACTGATGTTTGTCTCAGTCTTTTTTTAAAGAGAGGCTGGGCCAAGATAGCCTATGAGAAGATAGCATTGAGATGCTCTGCCTACCTCTGGGGTCTGTATACTGGTGTTTGTCTGATATACCTTACTTACGAAGCTTTCCAGCGCGAATATTTTCGTCAAAATCTGAACTCAGATGTAGTAGTTTTTATGTCGTATAATTTTATTTAACGATTTTATTAAGAGGTCTTATTGTCCTTTTTATTTAAAACTTATTTCAATAACGAGTTAATGTTAATGTAAGTGCAATTAACAGTATCTTATCGGTTCCAACTGAGAGACACACATCAAACACACGAGGGTTTATTATTAGATCAGTAAGTATACTGACCACAGAAAACGATAGCACTTAGATACGTAATCAATAGCGTCTCACATTAAGTTACACGAAAATAACATACATCCTATTATTATCCTACTTAACATCATTAAATCATCATAACCCAAAAATTAGGTGAATCGTCTGTCGTCATTTTTCTATTTTGTTTTTCAAAAGAAATGATATCGAAACAACTGTAACAAAAACCGTTCCCAAATGTATTAACAAATTTATGTAATTTCTGTATTTAGACTAGGAATGAATTGTAGAACGTTCCTGATTAACAGGAGATGTTGTGTGTGATATAAACTTGGCAGAAACCTGCTCACCATCATTCTTATTAATCTCAGTATTACCACTAGTAAACCTATCTTTAAAAGTAACTTTGCCCTCTTTATAACCCCTCTTTAAACTATTCTTCAGATCCTGACTCCTGTGTACAATAACCACCTGCGTCAGCAGAGCATTCAACAGCGGGAGGGTGGACATGAACATGTTTTCCAGTATAAAATCATAAGTAGGAGTCCCCTGGTTGTGGTTAAATCCCAGGATTCCCAACATTAGGAACACATAAACAAAATAATATATCACAGAGGGAGCTACACAGATCACAAAGACGAGGGTTAAGTAGGTGACAGTGACAGTGACTGTTCTGTTCCTCCTAGCAGAGGTGCACCGAGGAACTGGTCGTCTCATGTAGACCAGCATGAGGGCGAGGCAGATGATAGTGAGGATACAAGGAACCATGAGTGGTATCAGCAGGGTCAGGATAAAAGTACAAGCTATTCCCTGGGTACAGTGAGTCCCCGCTACATCGCACCCTCCTAATATATTCTGACACAAGTTCCCACCAACTCTACCAAAACTAATATAAGGGTCTATCTCGCTGAGATCCAGAAAGTTAGTAGCAAACAGTGTGATCTCAGCTAGTCCTACAAAACACCAGAACACAAGGTACCCCGCACAGCTAACACTATATACTGACTATACAGTCCCAAAACCATGCCTCCATCAAACAACGCTATATATAAAATTTGAGATGTTATAAACTTACTGTCTTATTGTCCTCTGCTGCAAGACTGAGGTTATACTCGCTGAGAGCGATGATGAAGATGATAGCAGTTACATCGTCAAAACAATGTATTGAGTTACAGAAAATGAATAGCAGCCGGTTTACACTTTACAGAATTGCACATGATCTATATACATGACACAGGGGCTCCGTCACCAAGCAGACGATCGAGCAGACGAAACAGCTGACAGAGAAAATACAAGAAGTGATTCCGAGCGGGTGTAAGAAGGGTGTAAAGTATAGGTAGCTCAATGTACGAGTGTGCACGTGTGCGCGGCTCCGACGGGCACTAGTGGTAATAAATAACCATGAGCTGATATAATGATTTCCCGCCAAATATGAAACAGCTAGTACTGTGTCTTCTGGAATGTTCGCTTGGATGTTATGACAGCTTAAGACAGATATTTACTAATCCACGGTTCAAATCTTTGACGATGAAATTGTAAATGTAGGTATTATAATAGTTGAAATTTATAGATGTTTTATACTTATAGCTACCGAGCTGGTTGCGTGATGTTGAGAAATTTGTTGATTTCTGCATTTTCGAAAAGGAACGCAAAGCCGTTTCCTGTCAGTCCGACTAACATTATCAAACTGAAGAGCGTTCCTGCAGAATCCGGTCCGAGGTCCGGATAACTTAAGCAGCTGTGAGCTGTAAGTGAAAGCGAGTGGCAGGTAGATATTAAACTCTGCAGCTGCTGAGTGAGCGGTGTTTTGATGCCTATTTGATGCTCAAACTAGCTTTTTCCTAGTTTCCGTCACACACCGAGATCGGTGTGTAATCGGTCACGTGAGGGTCGCCCGAGAGTCACGAGGTAGGGATTGAGCGCGCTTAGTGGCGGCATATAGCACGTGATAGTTGCGGTCGCGCTAAATCACTCTACAGTCGATTCTTCCATTTTCACCACTTTTAGTTTCGCATTGGATAAGCACATGTTATACGCGCGCGTTACGTGTCAATCATATTTGATCCCGATTTCTTACTTTGGGTTTCAAACTTGCTTGTCGAGTTTTCGTCAATAATCAATTATCATCCATGATTCATCATTGCCACTTGTGTAATACCTTGAAATCCTATAAGTTGAATGAATAGGTTTTAAAATTGTTGACATAGCATAGAAGGACTGTTGTCAGAATGTAGAATGATACAGAGCCGCCTTCAGAAGTTAAAATTGTTGAGCCTTATTTTCTAGTGTACTGTTTCGTATGACATATGAGTCGAGGTACAAATAGAATTTTTCGCTGGATCAAAATGCTGAGATTTTAATATAAAGCTAGTTTAGATTACGCCTGATTGCCTGAGTCCTATTTAAAAATATTTTTGATATGTCATCCTAGAAGTAGACTCACAAATTTTGCATTCGTTTTAATTGTGTTTTTTTTATGCGAAGAGCATATATTGTTTTTCCTTAAGCCAGCTGATCCAGCTATTGTAAAAGTCTACGGTCTAAAATGCTGCTTACTTTAGAAACACTGCGCTTCTTATTTGAATCATTAAATCTAGGCTGCATAAAATGATAGGTTTTCGGATTTTGACCTGAGCAGCCGAAACTGATATTATTATTATTGTTATCCATATAATATACTATTATCGATGTAGTTTAATAGACTATAAATTTATTATATAACCTGGTTTTATTTCCATAGAAGTGTTTTTACCAGTTACTTTAGTAAATTAACAAAATGTACGTCTCCACTCTGCAGTTCCGACTGCAATTCGAACTTTGCCGTCTAGAATCTAGTGTGAATATTATAGATATTTACAACAAATATTTTAATTATCAGGTTCATCAGCATGGGACAAGTTGCAGATCAACCGCCATATAGGTACGTACTATGACAAGTGTTCATTTATGACTCAGTAATACAATTAAACAACAAGTTAACTTAAGAGTTGCAATTTGATTGATATACAATATCATGCGATAGTTTATTAAAAAACTTCGAAGGCTTTTAACTTGAATAACAATATCATTTTTAAAGCAAGGTTTGTAATTGAAGGCAAGCATATCGGTCTGTACTGATGTAAAGGATTTTTGTTCTCAGTTTCTATGAAATTGTACCATGTACATATTTTTACCTCGTTCACCCTTCCAGCTCATGCATCAAGGCTGATTCTTCATCCTCACACTTACACGCCTTCAATTAGTCACCACCTGGAACTTTATCATATATAATTACTAGAAACCCGCTAGTCGAAAGCTTTGTTCGAGGAAATTTTAAAAATCAGTTATGTTTTAATTTCTCTTCATCATACAGCTCTGTTATAATACAGTAGACATAATGGAATTTATCTAACAATGGCGACAGCGTTGTTAGTATTCGGATTCCCAAAACGATACTTTTTACCGCATCAAAAAATACCAATCACAACCAAAGTTATGAATATAAGTCATAGCGTGAGCGTAAATGTGAGCTAGTTTTGAAATTATGACGTAGCATACAGCATAACAACGCGCGTTGTTAATCTGTGGTTGCTCGCGCACGTGCATTTTAACGTTGCTACGCAACAGCACAGTAAACCTTTGCTTAAATAACGCCATTATTCTAACGATTATTTAACCTCACTTCCGACGTTAATTATAAAAAATCTAAAGCCTAAATCAAAATTCTAAGAATGCTATAGCCTATTCCTATCCTTTTTCTACAACCCTGCTAAAAATGGCGAGGTTTCAACTCCATTTGCGAGCTGGGTTTGGCATCACCAGAGGGTCATTTTGAGGTCGATTTTCGGTGTTTTTTCTTCTATGTCCCCGTTGCCGGGGAAATTTCGTCAAGTTTAAAATATAATATAGATAATCACGTCATCGCCCCATCATCCCTTATAGTCGAAGACGATAACATATGCATATTGTATAATTCTGCAAAATAAAACATGTTTTATTACTTATATGTTTGAACCAACTCCCTATACCCTCCTAGATTATCAATTTTTCTCAATTTTTGCTACTTTTCAAAAGTTCAAAGAATCTTTTAATTAGCTTGAACCTCCCATAATATCTCTGGACTCTAACTGATAGAATTTCTTTAAACTTTCCAGATAGGGGGGGAGCCAAGTAGATTTTTGTAGATATTTGGATACGTTAATTCACCACTTTTTTCGTGAATTATCCATTACAATAATCTACAAATATCTACATTTATCTACAAAAAATGTATATCTCAAATATGTGCCCAGAAATTCTACTGAATTTTTGGAGATAAATGTATAAATTTGTAGAATTTGTAGAATTTTCGTGAATTATCCATTGACAATAATCTACAAATATCTACATTTATCTACAAAAAATGTAATCTCAAATATGTGCCCAGAAATTCTACTGAATTTTTGGAGATAAATGTATAAATTTGTAGAATGTCAACCACTTTTTTCGTGGATTATCCATTCTACATTAATCTACAAATATCTACAAATATCTACAAATATCTACTTGGCTCCCCCCCCCCCCCCAGATAGTTACATGGCTATAATACGATTAATCTGAGCAAGTTTGGGCGAATTTATATGTGCAAAACTTGAGATATGAATTCAAACACATTAAAATATCTCAAATTGGCAGTTTTGGTACGATATTTGACGAAAGTCGATTATCTCAAGATCTTACTGATAGAATTTCTTAAAATGTTTCCAAATAGTTACATGGCTATAAGACAGACAATATGAGCAAGTTTGAGCGAATTTCTATATGCCAAATTTGAGATATAACTTCAAACACAAGAAAATATCTCAAATTGGTGCGTTCTAGAGGAACGCGGGCATATATTTTGAGATCTAACTGATAGAATTTTTTTAAACTTTCCAGATAGTTACATGGTTATAAGACGATTAATCTGAGCAAGTTTGGGCGAATTTTTATGAGCCAAACTTGAGATATGACTTCAAACACATTAAAATATCTCAAATTGGCGGTTTTGGTACGATATTTGACAAAAGTCGATTATCTCAAGATCTAACTGATAGAAGTTCTTTAAACTTTCCAGATAGTTACATGGCTATAAGAAAATTAATCTGAGCAAGTTTGGGCGAATTTCTATGTGCCAAACTTGAGATATGACTTCAAACACATGAAAATATCTCAAATTGGCGGTTTCGGTACGATATTTGACGAAAGTCGAGTATCTCAAGATCTAGCTGATAGAATTTTTTTTAACTTTCCAAATAGTTACATGGCTGTAAGAAGGATAATCTGAGCAAGTTTGGGCGAATTTCTATGTGCCAAACTTGAGATATGACTTCAAACACAAGGAAATATTTCAAATTGGTACGGTACGCAGGCATATATTTTGAGCTCTGACTGATAGAATTTCTTTAAACTTTCCATATAGTTACATGGCTATAAGACAGATAATCTGAGCAAGTTTGGGCAAATTTCTATGTGCCAAACTTGAGATATGACTTCAAACACATGAAAATATCTCAAATTGGCGGTTTCGGTACGATATTTGACGAAAGTCGAGTATCTCAAGATCTAGCTGATAGAATTTTTTTAAACTTTCCAAATAGTTACATGGCTGTAAGAAGGATAATCTGAGCAAGTTTGGGCGAATTTCTATGTGCCAAACTTGAGATATGACTTCAAACACAAGGAAATATTTCAAATTGGTACGGTACGCAGGCATATATTTTGAGCTCTGACTGATAGAATTTCTTTAAACTTTCCATATAGTTACATGGCTATAAGACAGATAATCTGAGCAAGTTTGGGCAAATTTCTATGTGCCAAACTTGAGATATGACTTCAAACACATTAAAATATCTCAAATTGGCAGTTTCGGTACGATATTTGACGAAAGTCGATTATCTCAAGATCTTACGTACTGATAGAATTTCTTAAAATTTTCCAAATAGTTACATGGCTATAAGGCGGATAATCTGAGCAAGTTTGGGCGAATTTCTATGTGCCAAACTTGAGATATGAATTCAAACACATTAAAATATCTCAAATTGGCAGTTTTGGTACGATATTTGACGAAAGTCGATTATCTCAAGATCTTACTGATAGAATTTCTTAAAATGTTTCCAAATAGTTACATGGCTATAAGACAGACAATATGAGCAAGTTTGAGCGAATTTCTATATGCCAAATTTGAGATATAACTTCAAACACAAGAAAATATCTCAAATTGGTGCGTTCTAGAGGAACGCGGGCATATATTTTGAGATCTAACTGATAGAATTTTTTTAAACTTTCCAGATAGTTACATGGTTATAAGACGATTAATCTGAGCAAGTTTGGGCGAATTTTTATGAGCCAAACTTGAGATATGACTTCAAACACATTAAAATATCTCAAATTGGCGGTTTTGGTACGATATTTGACAAAAGTCGATTATCTCAAGATCTAACTGATAGAAGTTCTTTAAACTTTCCAGATAGTTACATGGCTATAAGAAAATTAATCTGAGCAAGTTTGGGCGAATTTCTATGTGCCAAACTTGAGATATGACTTCAAACACATGAAAATATCTCAAATTGGCGGTTTCGGTACGATATTTGACGAAAGTCGAGTATCTCAAGATCTAGCTGATAGAATTTTTTTTAACTTTCCAAATAGTTACATGGCTGTAAGAAGGATAATCTGAGCAAGTTTGGGCGAATTTCTATGTGCCAAACTTGAGATATGACTTCAAACACAAGGAAATATTTCAAATTGGTACGGTACGCAGGCATATATTTTGAGCTCTGACTGATAGAATTTCTTTAAACTTTCCATATAGTTACATGGCTATAAGACAGATAATCTGAGCAAGTTTGGGCAAATTTCTATGTGCCAAACTTGAGATATGACTTCAAACACATGAAAATATCTCAAATTGGCGGTTTCGGTACGATATTTGACGAAAGTCGAGTATCTCAAGATCTAGCTGATAGAATTTTTTTAAACTTTCCAAATAGTTACATGGCTGTAAGAAGGATAATCTGAGCAAGTTTGGGCGAATTTCTATGTGCCAAACTTGAGATATGACTTCAAACACAAGGAAATATTTCAAATTGGTACGGTACGCAGGCATATATTTTGAGCTCTGACTGATAGAATTTCTTTAAACTTTCCATATAGTTACATGGCTATAAGACAGATAATCTGAGCAAGTTTGGGCAAATTTCTATGTGCCAAACTTGAGATATGACTTCAAACACATTAAAATATCTCAAATTGGCAGTTTCGGTACGATATTTGACGAAAGTCGATTATCTCAAGATCTTACGTACTGATAGAATTTCTTAAAATTTTCCAAATAGTTACATGGCTATAAGGCGGATAATCTGAGCAAGTTTGGGCGAATTTCTATGTGCCAAACTTGAGATATGACTTCAAACACAAGGAAATATTACAAATTGGTACGGTACGCAGGCATATATTTTGAGATCTGACTGATAGAATTTCTTTAAACTTTCCAGATAGTTACATGGCTATAAGACGGATAATCTGAGCAAGTTTGGGCAAATTTCTATGTGCCAAACTTGAGATATGACTTCAAACACATTAAAATATCTCAAATTGGCGGTTTTGGTACGATATTTGACGAAAGTCGATTATCTCAAGATCTAACTGATAGAATTTATTTAAACTTTCCAGATAGTCACATGTCTATAAGACGGATAATCTGAGCAAGTTTGCGCGAATTTCTATGTGCCAAACGTAAGATATGACTTCAAACACAAGGAAATATTTCAAATTCTATCAGTTAGATCTTGAGAAAATCGAAAATAACCGTCAGCTTATGTAATGTAATCACAACTTGTTTAAGTTGACTATGAAAACCTTCCCCAGTTTGGCTATGATATAATTGATATCTCTAAATAAAATTGGCCTACGTTAAGACTCACCATTGAGCGAGCTACAAAAAATACACAGTACACACTCACATTCCTACCCAGTGCACACTATAACTGTTGCCAGATAAAACATTCAATGACTTGCTTTAATTACAATTAATAAACGATGTGCAATGTATAATATAGATAGCTTATGACCACATATGTTTCCATGTATATTCAGTAGTCAATGACTAGACAGTGTTATTGAAAATTACAAAGAATAAAATGGCGTCTGGACTTGGGACCAGCTCATAGTACATTTCATTAATGCCCTCTGAAAACCATTCTGCTAGCTAAAAAATGATATTTTTAGGTAAAACGTACTGAAAATTAAAATTAAGATCAAAAATTGAAAACGAACTAACAAAAAGAATGACACGTCATGCTAAAATACATATTCCGAAGTAAGATTAATCCCAGAATAATTTTTAGCAACTTTCAGACACGTTTTCAAACATAATCCAACAGCTACAGACAACTGCTGCAAGGAACTATTTCTTCCAGATGTAATGAATCGAAATTTAATAGGGTCCTTGTGCATTTTTGTCGTACCATACAGATATGGAAGCTTTCTATTCTCAGACTTGATTTTAATTCCATGAGACTTGAGGAAGTCTACATGTCAGAGAATGATTTCAGGATCTTGTTAAGGTTGATATCCTCAACATATTTATTAGTGTACTGAACTACCATGTAATATTTACTTTTAGGTTGACTCTTCTTTGACCAAACGTATTTACATCGATACAATTAGTATAATGTAAACAAACAAAACCCCGATTTACCACGAACCCCGATTTACCGCGGATGTTTCCTTTCCCCCAAACTCCGCGGTAAATCGGGGTTTTACTGTATTTAAAAAGTTTCGATTCCGCAATAATTTCCGTTTACAAATTAGGTGGGATCATGATTCATACATATCAAATTCTGCATACATGTATATATTGATATTGTATAACTCAATCTATAGCATATAATAAGACTCATCAATTTATTTGGTTTAAACACTACTTTATTTAGCTCCTTATTATATTTGAAATCCGAATTGAATATTATTTATGAGAGTCAAATTTCTGTTGATCCCACGTTTGATTACGATGTTGTCGCATTGAAACGTTGAATAATTCCTTTCCTCCTTATTTTATTTTTCATAAATATCTTATCATAAATATCTTATCAGGAGCAAAGAAAAACAGTCCTGGCTGTCCAAGAACCCTAACAGGGCCGGAACACACAACCAGTGATAGCAGGAAATACAGGTGAGCGGACTGAATCACTACCAGACTGAATCCCTAACGGACTGAATCACTACCAATCACTATTGGTAGGGATTGAGGTATATTTTCGGACTGAATCACTACCGGACTAAATCACTACCGCTAATATCTAGACCTAACCACTTTGATGTGATCACTACTGAACTTTGCAATAAAGGCATAATTATTCGTATTTCATTAGTTAATTATTTTGTTTTTTGTTAATTATTATTAGATTTTTCGTGATAATTGACTAAGCAGAAATTTGGTCAAAGAATAATAGATAATATACTGATACAGTAATTTAAATCACACATTAATAAGTAAACATTAAAGGAATCACCAGGTCTTCTAAGGAGATGGGGTTGACAGGATGAGAGTAGGCTGCCAGTCGCCAGTCGCCAGCCGTCTGACTAGTCGTGCCAAGGACTTGGGATCACAGTTGAGCCGGGACGAGGCTTCGAAGGATAGTCCAGCGACAGAGTCTGCAACAATCTGCTTAGTTGAGTTCTCAGTAGTAGCTGCGAGGGTCTTCATTTTAGACTTGGAGCGGTGGGCTGCAATTTTTGCTGGTTGAGATTCGTGGTCATGAGGGGTAGCTGAACAGAAGGTGTCCTGGACAAGGATCAGGCGGGACTTGCACTTGTTGCACTTCCAGTAGGTCTTGTCTTCCTTCTTTCTGTTAAGGTGGTAGAGGTGACCATCGTAGAGGACGTTGCGGCTGCCTTTCTTTCTGCCAGGAATAAACTCGATGGATGAGGAAGACATAGGGGTATAAGATAAACACAGGCGTTGCGGGTTTATATATTATTCCCGCTAGCTGATTGAGATACCGAGCATGTGAAGGTTCACATCACTGTATTGTCGTATAGCAGGTCATTATGGATGACTTGATCCGAACCAGTTCTCGTTAGGGCTCCTCGTTGCGTACGTAAGTCTGTGGATCACATGTCTGACAGGCCCCATAGCAAGCACTCCATGAGAGCCCCGGCTCAGATCATGTCATGATATTAGAACTAGTGAACTAAGATCTGAAGATCAACTGGTAGGCATTGAGGTACATTTTCGGATCGAATCCCTAACGGACTAAATCACTACCAGTAGTGATATTTGGGTGGTAGTGATTCCGTCCGTTAGGGATTCAGTCCTACGATCGGAAATACAACAAGCAGTGGCGTAACAACAAAAAGAACTAGAGGGATAGAACAGGTTACCACTTCCTGCAAAGAAGAAGAATAAAAAACATTCCCCCCATCTCACGTGCAGGCAGATTAAAAATCTTACTGTTATCTATATTTTGAGACCTCATGTGGCGTGTTTTTCTGCTTTTTATACTTATAATACTAAAGATTCTGCAGTCTTAACTCTTATACTTTTCAAGTAAAAATAATTGACTTCGGTAAAATTGTAATATATTGCCGACTCGCTATAAAGGTTTAAAACATGAGTGATTGTTGGTTGTAAAGTGCTAAGTATTTTTCCTTCTTAAATGGCTATATAAAAAGGCTTGTTATATTAGCCGGAGTTTAGCAGCTCTGAAACAACCTTATGATAGAGCGCACAAATACAGAGCAGCTGTTATGAACAGTAAACTAATAGCCATTTAACGGCCGTGATCATGTCGATAATACATAATAGCCGTCTCAGCTTTTTTAGCCGGTTAATTAGTTTACCGGCTTACGCAGTGGGAGATTTATAATTCGCATCGTTTTGTCGTTTTAGAACCTAGAAATAGTGCTCAAAGCTGGCTTTGTGGTTAAGTTTTGTAGTTGAAAAGTGTTTTTAATGTAGAGTGGGAGCTCTTAGGATTTATAATTGGCATCATTTAGTCGTTTCAGAACCCAGAAATAGTGCTCAAAGCTGGTTTTGTGGTTAAGTTTTGTAGTTGGAAAGTGTTTTTAATGTAGAGTACTGGGAGCTCTGAGGATTTATTATTCGCATCATTTAGCCGTCTCATAACCTAGAAATAGTGCTCAGAGCTGGTTTTGTGGTTAAGTTTTGTAGTTGGAAAGTGTTTTTAATGTAGAGTACTGGGAGCTCTGAGGATTTATAATTGGCATCATTTAGCCGTCTCATAACCTAGAAATAGTGCTCAGAGCTGGTTTTGTGGTTAAGTTTTGTAGTTGGAAAGTGTTTTTAATGTAGAGTACTGGGAGATCTGAGGATTTATTATTCGCATCATTTAGCCGTCTCATAACCTAGAAATAGTGCTCAGAGCTGGTTTTGTGGTTAAGTTTTGTAGTTGGAAAGTGTTTTTAATGTAGAGTACTGGGAGCTCTGAGGATTTATAATTGGCATCATTTAGCCGTCTCATAACCTAGAAATAGTGCTCAGAGCTGGTTTTGTGGTTAAGTTTTGTAGTTGGAAAGTGTTTTTAATGTAGAGTACTGGGAGATCTGAGGATTTATTATTCGCATCATTTAGCCGTCTCATAACCTAGAAATAGTGCTCAGAGCTGGTTTTGTGGTTAAGTTTTGTAGTTGGAAAGTGTTTTTAATGTAGAGTACTGGGAGATCTGAGGATTTATTATTCGCATCATTTAGCCGTCTCATAACCTAGAAATAGTGCTCAGAGCTGGTTTTGTGGTTAAGTTTTGTAGTTGGAAAGTGTTTTTAATGTAGAGTACTGGGAGATCTGAGGATTTATGATTGGCATCATTTAGTCGTTTCAGAACCTAGAAATAGTGCTCAGAGCTGGTTTTGTGGTTAAGTTTTGTAGTTGGAAAGTGTTTTTAATGTAGTGTGTAGAGTACTGGGAGATCTGAGGATTTATAATTGGCATCATTTAGCCGTCTCATAACCTAGAAATAGTGCTCAGAGCTGGTTTTGTGGTTAAGTTTTGTAGTTGGAAAGTGTTTTTAATGTCGTGTTCGGTGTTTTATAACTCCCGACATGGCTACACAACAGTCTCCCTTAAGAACACTTTCCACTGTTAATACAAATTATCATTTACGATCGTTGTTCTACCAATCTGCCTTAATAAATTCGTTCATGAATTCATACACTGTAAGTGTAGACTGTATTATTAGTGCCGTACATTTGATTAGCAATTTACTGGGCATGCGACTTAATTTTGCCATGATGTTGATAGTTGCCAAATTTCGGTAACAAATTAAGACTTAATTTGAGTTTACTGCACGCGCGATGAATAATTTGTGTTTATAGAGATCTGCGGCGCGTTATCAGGTTAACCAATGAAATCACGGCGTTTTCGTCACGTGACAGTCGACTGTAGAGTGATTAATTATCATCCTGATAGTTGCACAGCCAATTACGCGCCATATACGGTATAATCAATATATAATTGCGTGCGTGCAAGTAAATATTTTGTAAACAATGTTAGTATAAAGTTAACTTTTGGTTGGATATAAACATGCAAGTGTGAGGTAGCATAGTTGGCAGTGCACTGGTTTGTTGCTCAGATGGGTGAGAGCGAGGGTTTGTCTGAACGATTTCGAAATCGTTGTTACGTTGAAAACTGTAACTCAGCTCGATTATCATGTTACCTAGCTAGTAACTTGGTGATTGAACAGAGAGTGGAAAACCAGACGAAAGTAAAGATGAAGTCTCGGGGACCGGGGAAGCGGCTGATGATGGGCAAGAATAATTAAAGCGCCCTAGGCCGCTCCCCAAACCAGACCAATAACACATTTTCTGAAAATTTCTAATTTTCGAGGTAAAACTAAAGGTAACATTTTTAGCGACAAAATAGGCATATTTGTATGTTGTAGTAATATCATCAAATTTCTTAGATCTAGATTTCTAATTTCCTTTACGCTTTAGAACTGGAAGAACTGGTGAACCTGGTGGAGAGTGAAAGAGCTAGTTTATATGGCAGGACATGATAGGTACGGGTGCATGTTTATTGATATTCTCCCTGTTGATTTTTTATATTCACGACATAGTTGGCCAGTACGCACTGTACGAACTTTTAAAAGGTGCCGAACTGTACGAATTTTAAAAAGCTGTCGAGGAATTTTTACCGAATTTTTAAAAAAAAGTTTTGTTTTTTAATTACTTCAGTCCGAAAAATTGAAACCTCAAACTGTTAAATCAGATTTCTGAGTCGGACACTACAAGTTTAGGTGATAATGATATTAACGGGTGATACTCGTAAAATATCTGTTCTGTATATTGGACCGTCGACGAGTCCAACTCGGCGCGCGTCCTGGTAGGTTGTAAACCTACGGCTACAATAATGATAGCAAAGTTGATGTGATTTATTGCATTGATTTCCTTGATAAAGTTGAAAAGTGATTTTCATGCTTACTAATACTTCAGTTATACAATTTGTATTATTGGTCAAAACACAAAACTTAAACCTCTCATATTTCAAATTATAAAATTTTTGTAGTTAGCTTTTCGAAAATTTATGAAGCGAATTTTTCCCGAACTAATCCCGAACTTTTAAAAGGTGCCGAACTGTACGAATTTTTTACAAATTTTTTACAAATTTTGTACGAATTGACCAACTATGATTCACGATGTCAATTTTTCGCAGCTCGGCGTGGCGTGGCCCAGTGGTGAGTTTCGTTACTGGGCCGTGCTCAGCCTGTCATTTTACCTGGGGACCCCAGGCTATTATGTTCATAAACATAATAAAGATTTGGCGGAATGACAGGCTGAGCGCCGCCCAGTAACCTGTCATTCCGCCTAATATCTATTCATATGATTATGAACAGAAATATAGATCTTGTGGATTGCAAAGAACATTATTTGCGCGGCCGATTAGTTCTGACGTTAGCTATAGAGGTTCTTTCACAATTTATTACCTATTTTTTCGGTATTATGGACGTATTAAATATGAAAATAAATTTGTTGAAACCCTAAAATGTTTTTGAAATATCTAAATCGATTTTTCGAAAATACTTATGTATGCATGTCTTATAATGTCATTAAAAAACAATCCATATTCTCTGTCGTCGAGTCTAGATAATTTATAAGGGACCGTTCACTTTTTTACATGAACAAGCTATTTTGAATTTGACCGCAGACGTGCAGT